AGGGCACCAACCAAAAACTACTGCGTAGAATTAATTGGAATTTTTCACACACAAGCCTTGCTATATGAGCTTTCAAAGCATATAAAAATTATACGGCTTAAATGTGAAGTTGGGTGCAAAAGAATACAATTCAATCCTCTGTCGGGAAAAAACGAAATGACTTTCCGAACAACCTTATAATTTTCTATTTAAGTCATTGGTCCAAAGTTAATATACATCAAAATATATGCAATACCTACCACTCGGTAATAACCAAGTTAATTAGTAACCATACAAATAGTACAGTTTAAATTCAGATAAGAAACAGACCAAATAATCAACAACGAGAAGCGAGTGAGGCAGGGTGGTGAGACGGTGACCGGGGATGCATTATCTACCATGTTCTACACATCCCAAGTATATTTAATTACTTGCTGTCATTAAATTTTTCAAATTGTATTAAGTAAATTACTTTCATTTATTTATTAAAATTGTCAAAGTAGTCGCAAAATGCAGACGATGTGAAAAATGAGGTCAGAGGTTTTATATGATATTAGAAGGATCAAATGATAAATAAAAAAACAATGTTTTAAAACAAAATAAGTTTTATTTCGAATAAAATGAAGTATTTTAAACTAATATTGTAAATTCTTTTACATCTCTCTGAACTTTTCCGACAAAAAATTACTAACTATTTTATTTATTTATTTATTAAATGTACGTCTTATGTACATACAAATTACAAAACATCATTTTTATCCTAAAATACAATTGAAAACAAATGCAATAACAAGTAATTGTAAACTAGCAACAACTGCAACAGAAGTGTTTTCAGCTGGAGGGGAAAGGGTAATATTTAAAGCGTTTTCTATCCAGTCGTTATAGTACGCCACGTCTGTATAAACACCTGGATAACCATCCCTTCCACATCCTCGCCCCCATGAAACTATTCCTGCCACTCTCCCGTTACATACTAATGGTCCTCCAGAATCTCCCTAAATCATTACAAAAAAGTATTTTAAAAGCATAGGTTTCAAAATGAAGACCACAACCGATGCTTTTGGAACGGTATGGCTAGGAAAATGTTAGAATAGACTAGACGATCAAGTATGACTCAACTAATTTTCGGTTTGGGGGTCTGACTATGCACACTGTATGTTTTGGGGTGGCTGAATCCAAATCCAAGGTCAACACGTCAAGGTTTGGACATAACCCCATTAAAACCGTTAATTATAATAACCCCAAATGATTTTAAACCTAAAACCCTAGTCAATCAACTCTTCCACTAAATATATACATATAACATTATAATCTTTTAAACCTTTTACCGTAATCAAAACACTGAATGAGTATCGCTTAATCTTTCACTATGAAACTATTTATGACATAGATTTCACAAAATTAAAATTACCTCCTCTAGGTCTAGGTCGCACCTATCCAGAATTCAACACCTTAGGAATCATAAGGATAGTTTGTTCTAATTTTGTGAAATCTACACCACGAATAGTTTCGCGGTGAGGGATTGAGCGATTTAGTGGAAGATTAGTTAAGGGTTTTAGAAAATACTACAAATGGCGCAGTAAACGCCATCTGTAGCACGATGCTACATTTTAGGATTACGTATGCTCCAACAAGGTCCACTTGTGTGGATATCTACTTGCCGAAAACGAATCCCGGCGTAGCCAACCTCAACGTGATATGCACGTTACCTTAATCGTGTTATTTGAGATATGTCCATGTTCTGATGTACTTGGGTTAAACTGACCTAGGATCAGGATTCAGTGACTCCAAAAACATACAGTATACACACCAAAAATGTTATTTTGTGGTCATGTAATTTGCTACTGAAATTTTCTTTGAGTAACGAATTGTTTTTACAGAAGAAAATATTTGTAAAAATTGTTAACCTGACAGGAGTCAATCCCTCCTTGCATAGATCCAGCGCATATCATTCCAGGAGTAATGCGACCCTGCCCGTAGTTTGTGGAACACTCCTCTGTACTAATGATTTGAACGTTGACGTATCTTAAGTCATCAACTGAACCACCCCCCTTAAAAATAACATAGTAATTTTAAACGAGGCTGATGGTAATAAGTAATCTTCTAGCACTATTGTTTAATTATTTTATACAACATTCACTGTAAATAATTATCATTTTGATTTTAGTGTAAAATATTTAACGCTGTTAACATATAGAATAGTATCTATGTTAAAATGAATGTACTGTTATGTAATTTAAAAGAACAAAACATCTGGCGGTGAAGTAATTTTTAGCTTTTAGGAGGAGTTTCTCAATTCGACTGTTTTTTTTTTTCGTATGTTTGTTACGCGATTAATACGCCAATTATGAATTGATTTTGATGATTCTGTTATTGTTTGGTAGGCCAAATTTCAGAGGTGGTCATATATAAATTNGAAGCGGTATTGACAAAACAGTATTTTATGAAAATAAATAAAAGTAAAACAAAAATACTGGTATGCAAGGGAAGAAAAAGTAGGGAAAGAGCGAATATAACGATAGGAGACGAAAAATTAGAACAATTGGCTGATTTTAGGTATCTAGGAAGTCAGATAAGTCAGGACGGAAAGAGTAGAAGGAATATAAAGCAGAGGATAGCATAGGGTCGAGCCGTCTTCAATAAAAAGAAGGCATTCCTATATTCGCGAACGGTAAATTTATAAATTCGAAAAAGATTGTTAAAGGTGTATGTTTGGAGCGCGGTGCTGTAAGGGTTCGAAACATGGACGGTGAGCGCTGCGGAAAAGAAAAGGTTAAAAGCGTTAGAAATGTGGTATTATAGGCGAATGAGGAGGATAATGTGGATAGAGAAGGTTAGAAATAAAAAGATATTTGAAAGAATAAGTGAACAGAGGACTCTATGGAAGTCAATCAGAAATAGGCGAGATAGGTTGGTAGGACACCTTCTCAGGCTTGAATGTCTAGTCAGAGACATACTAGAGGCAGAAATGGGAGTTAGGAGGGGTAGAGGTAGACGTAGATTAGATTACTGTTCGCAAATAGTTGTGGGATGTTCTACGTTTAGAGAAATGCGAAGATTAGCTGAGGATAGGAAACAGTGTAAGTGCGTGTCCATCCAGTCTTAGGACTGACGACCTTATGATGATGATGCCGATGGTGATTACTAAAAGAAGGAATATCACATTTTTGACGAAAACTTTTTCTGTTATATAGCAGTACCGTACGTTAAGCTTAGTCCGTACAATTTTACTTTTATTGCAATAAAAGTGGGGTAAAATAACCACCACCAAAACTCTATGTAAATTATCCATTACCTGAAGGCTGACTTCCATAAATAATATGAACTTATAAAACAAAAAGCCTTTCAAGGACGGATGGATCTTATTTGAGAAAAAGTTATTCCTTCTTTGGTCTACCTACCACCAATACAAAAGTCCTACATATTTTGTGTAATTGACTATACCTTAAAAACTGAATATTTAGAAAGTACTTCATTAGGTTCTTCAAGAAGCCTCTCACTACGTTCCCATATCTATATTTCGCAAATTAGTATTTAATATTTATGTATATGTAACGTTCCAAAGCCACCTGTCTCAAACTCACAATCAGACATGGGTGGCATTCGATCTGGTAACACCGTTTTACGTAACATTACATAACATTTACCACACTTATTATGTAGGTATGTTCCAAAAGACGTATCAATGAACTCGAATAATATAATGCATAAGCCGTTGAAGTGTCTCGAGATCGCACGAAATTTCGAATGAGCGACCTGACCGGCCATGCCGCAATGTCAATTTGACTAAAACAAATTAAGTCGCATGTTACTTGTTCAGTCAGCCGTGAATGCAGGTGCATGGTCTTCAAAGAACCTCTCTTTATAATCGCATATTATATATTGCATATTATTATCTTATGTTATTATTTCTTGCATAACCCTTCCTTACTATGTCATACTGAAACATTTTGGGTATTGGGACTAAAATAGAATTTGAAAGTTTACTACTACTTACTTCGTTTCTCGTATCAGCAAGTAGATATCCATATATTTAAATGGACCTTGTTGGAGCATACGTAAGCCTAAAATGTAGCATCGTACTGCAGATGGCGTTTACCGCACCATTTGTGGTATTTTCTAAAACGCGCTGTTAAGAGAGTAGGTAAAAGTTGGTCTGTGTCCTGTCGGAGCTGTATGCGACGCGCTGATGAGATCCAAGAAGATCGAAATCGCGATCCGCGTCTGGCAGTTTCGACAGAATACAGACCACTTCGAATTATTTTATTCGATTATGGTAACGTGCCTATCACATTGAGGTTAACTACGCCGGGATTCGTTTCAGCAAGTAGATATCTATATATTTAAATGGACCTTGTTGGAGCATACGTAATCCTAAAATGCAGCATCGTACTACAGATGGCGTTTACCCCACCATTTGTAGTATTTTCTACTACTTACTTATTCTCACATAAGGTAGATAATGTCAATCATAGTCTTGCCTAATCTAGAAGACATAACTTCGGAATATTTTGTTTATCTAAAGAATATCTTGAAGAATCGTCACCTACTAAAACTTTTCTGACATTGGATTGACAAGTATAGTAATGAATGGTCAAAAAAGTAGTACTTAAAGTGGTACCACGCTTCTATCGGTGTGTATTTAGTCCAAGATTTCTAGAGAAAAATTCACAGACCTTGCTATAGTAGAATTCTGAGTTGTCCAAGAAAGGTGATCTTTGCTGTTTCAGTTGATGCCCTAAAGTATCTCCATCTTGGTCCAATTTTTTTTTTAAATCTTGTTAGGATCGTATTCAATATCGAAAAGTAATTTTTCAAAGGTCAATTTAAGTTTATACCCATAATAATGACACGAACATTCATAAATAACTTTTTGCCTAAACTATGCATTTTTACGGGAATTTTGTCACAAGTCGGAATTTCTCAAGTTCCTCATGGTGCTTAAAGTGTCTAAGTTGTTGGTTTTATAATTTCGTGATTCATTTATGACAAAAATCGATTCGATTGTTCGATAAAATGCGATATTATGTCATATTATCAATCATATATCTTTTCTTAGGCATTTTGGTTAATTAAACTAACGTCGTACAACACCTAAGGTCTTGTAATAACCGCTAAACGATTTCAGACCGCAGTGTTGGGCGTAACACGTCGATATTATTCAATTATCGATTATTTATCCATATATTTACTATGTTAACCAATAAGAGACTTACGATCTACGACCATTGACCCCGATCGACCATCAAATCGTCGACTTTACTTCATGAGATGAATCCAATATAAGAGATTCAATCGTAAGTATTATTTTCATTACTAATAACGAAAACAGTAGAGTAACAAAGATTAGTCTAAAGGTAAACCTTAATAAAAACCGTAAACCCTAAAATTTATCTATGGTATTGACTTACTAGGACAGATCCTCCTATTAGACTACTACACCACCAGGAAGCGTTGTCCATGCTTATCAAAGATGTAGACAGAAAACTTTTGTAAGGATTCTGGATAGGTAAGTAGGTACTTATTGTTAGTGTAAGTATTTTTATTATTATTATTGAATATACCCATACGTTCCATTATTATTATACGATGTTATTATGTACATATATTATAGTGCATATACTTTCACCAATACAAACTTTCTCTACTTGTTCGTTATACAAGAAATTCTAAATTTGTCAGCAACCGAGTCAATACACGTACCTACAGAATGGAAGTGAGGAAGCAATTTTGAACAAACGCGCCGACTTCCCATACTTAAATCGTCTGCCTGTTATGGTAGTGATTAGCGAAAAAGAGGAAGAAGGATGAGAAATAAAAAAAAAAAACAAGGAAGGAACCTTGCAGATGATTTAAGGCAATATGTTACCGATATGAAGAAGTGGTCATCAAAAGTATTTAATTACCGTAATGATGGGCACCGTAAATTATGTTTGTATAGAGTAACTAATGAAAATGAATGAGATATTTTAACTTTCACTAGTACGTCCTTACTAAATGGTGTTTAACAACCGAAGTGTTTGGAAAAAATTAATTAGACAATTTAGCAAAATTGAAGGGAAGTGATTGAAACGAAAGTAGATGTTGTGACATAATAAAGTTAAAACTATTATCAACCTTGATGTATAAAACTGCTAATTTTATGTTAGAAAGTAAATTTCAGATTTTAACTGTCAGTCACAAAACATTAATTGTATATGGTATATAAGTATTATTGTATCTGGGCATCTGTCAGTAGATATAAATAACTTCAAATGAGCTTTCATTACGTTCAATTTGGTTAATTCAAGTTAGGATTTGTTTATTAAGTGGCTTTTATTTCTTCTGTAATACTCGGTATTTCACCTTTGACCCATGCGACCCTATCCTCGGTCATAGTGTTACAGTTCATTGAAGCTTTTGTTAAGTTCAGTCTACTGCCTATATACGAGGGTGGATTGATAAGTTTCCGGCCTGACCAAGAAAAACAAGGTTTTTAAAAATTTTTTTTTTTTATTTCTCAACATAATCTCCTCCAAGGCTGATACATTTCTCATAGCGGTGTTCCAGTCTATTAATGCCATCTCTATAGACTGATTCGTCAAGCTCCTCAAAATAACCATTTACAGCTTCGATTACTTCTTCATTGTCCGCAAATCTCT